GGGTGGGGGGGTGTTTTGTTGGGGTTTTTTTTAAGCTTCACCTTTTGGTATATATCTAGAATTAACTTCATTGTCTACTGGGTGTCTGTTCACTTGTATGGCAGCTATGAGTGCATCCTAATTGACTGTTAGTAATTTGATTCTTAGAAGCTTAAACTGAAAAGTGCAGTTCTTACTATGTGGCTAATACCTAGTCTTTTCACATGGAGCAGTATGATCCGTTGTGAAATAATTGAGTATGTGAAAGAAAGGAAGAAGTTAGTGATCTAAAAATGACAGCATGAAGTTTGTGCTTTGTCAGTTGATCTATTGGAAAAATTAAAAATGTGATTGCTACAGGCAAGTGAGAAATGTGATTGCCTTCTGCATGTTTGTAAGCATGGTAAGCCTGCAAAGAGAAATTTGGATTTTAAAGATACTGATAGTTTGAAAATGCAGTATCAATATTTATCAGATGACATTGAGCACTGAATTGCATGGTTGACTCTGTCACAGGCCTCTTTCAAAAGGCCTCATATTACTGATACAACCATGTTGTGGATTTGTATATTTTTATGGAACAACTAATGTTTAAAGTATTGAGACCAAAATCACTAGTTAGACCAATTGTGGATGTGTTTTTAATTTAATTGTAAAATAGTAGAGATTTGTTTTAGAGCTATATATAAATATATATATATATAAAAGAAAAGTATGGATACGAGATAGAAATGAGCATTTTAAAACCTGTATCCCTTGTGTTGCCGAACAAAGAGGTGTGTTTTCTTACTCTATGGAAATACTCTAGTGCAGCTAGAGTTGCTGAATGCAGTCGCGTTTTCATTCTGAATTGTAGCATTTGGATACAGTTTGTCAACTACTACAAAATGTAGGGAGGTGTATCTGGGCATATAAATTGTACGTGTAGAATTTAATAAAGAGTTTTTAAGTGGCAACAAAAAAAAAAATCCAATAAACAGACAACTCATTAACAGTCATCTTTAATACTACGGAAACCTTATAATATTAAGGAGAGGATGGATTAAAATATGCCAAGAAACTTGATCTCTGTTACTACTGAGCAGTGCCTGTACTGTGTTGATATACAGTCCCTACACACTTGGCATACTTGGGTATGCACACAGATTGAGGAGAGGTATCGTTTCTGCAGATAACTTCTGCATCTATGCTGCTGTGAGGGATCTTTGGGTTTTATCAACAGAAAAATAAAAGTTAAATTTCATGTGCGTTGTGTTTGTGCGCTTTTTTTTCTTCTGACTTTCTGTTTTGAGTACTGTTTTTAGACTGCTCTAACGGGGTGTTTATAATCTCTAGGGCGTAATATAAACACCCTGCATGTGTGTGGGTGTCCGAAGAGAAAAACTTTAAATCTGTTATTAGTTTGTTCTCCTGATTGCTTCTGGATCTTCCTTTTTCTATCCCAGTGTTTTGTGGTGTGTTGGAGAAAATCAGAATGCTATAAAGTATCTAGAATACCTTGGGCCTCCTGCCTTTTTGAGACCTCCTTAGTCTCAGCTGTGTGAACTCAAGTGATGCCTATTACTCCATGTCAGATATTAGCTTTTAATTGTTTGAGACAAGTATCTCAAGTAATGAGGTGTTGAATTTCTGCAATTCCTTGTTTAAAGACCTTGTAAGGTTGTCAGCTCCTCGGAAAAATGTGCCTGGAGTTACGAACTGAGGTAAAGATAGGAGGAAAATGCTTCAGTTGTGAATTTAAAAAGACTTGTTTTTTTTTTCAGGTAGGTAGGCTGGACTGGAAGTTGAGAATATATGCAAAAATATTTATGTGAATATTTTTATTTGATGTAGAGGATTGATAGCACATGAACTGAAAATAAAAACACCTTTTCAATTTTACTTAAAAATCAAGTCTTTTCCATGATCTGCCTTACACTTCTTCTAAATATGCTAAATATGGTTCAGATTTATAGAATTAAACTGAATTTCAACATGAGGCTTATAACACTGAACCAAAGACTGACTGAAGTTAATATAATTTCCTAAGTTAAAAAGCAGTAGTTTATCTACCTTATGTTTTTCATTGCAATTACAGTCTTAACTGATTTTTAATACAACTGAAAAAGTCAGTGGAACATACTTTATTTCTGACTGCTGATTTCAACCATGATCTAGCAGTCAATATCCAACCAAGCTGGAAAAGTATTTTGTCCAAGCTCTTATCTCACCTTAAATGTGGATGGACTGAACAGAACCAAACTTAAACTTAATAGAAGAAGCAGCTTCAGTATTTTACTGCAAAATTATTTTCTTCTCTTTTGATAATTTCTTCTGGAGGCTGATGCTGGATGTTTTCATCTTAATTTAAAACCAGAAATGCTAATTTGAAAAAGCAGTACTTCTGTCTGAGGCTGCCCACATACTGGCATAAACTGATGGAACTTGGCACTCCTGTCATCCTCTTGTCCTCAGTTACGAGTACTTGCTTGTGCTGGCCTTTGCTGGATTTTGACCACATACGGAGCCATTCGAGTGCAGTAAGCTAGCAGAAACCTGTGAACTTTGGTGTCAGGTTTTTTGAATGTATTTCCGTTGACGTAAGTGAACTCAAAAAGCAGAGTACGTGGTCAAAGAAATTGCATTGGTGCAAGGAAAGGGTGAGACCATGGTGAGTAGACAGACTGACTGTAAGTACAGGGACGCCCAAGGTACGGAGCAGTCTGGGTTTCTCTGATTCTTTGTCTTGTAAAATCCCGAGTAGAACCTGGTTTTAGAGAAAAGCCAGAGTTGGAGTGTTTGCTTCTGTAGGGAAGTTGCGCTTT